CAGTGGGTAGAGGGTGCTGGGGACTCTAGGTTAGGGCTGCTTTAGCAGTTCAGCTGGCACAAGGAGTAGTGTCCCCAGATACCAATTGGCCAGGCCCCAAAAGCTCCTGAGAGCAAGTAGCCTTGTGTTGCTTGCCAGGGCAGCTTTTTATACTGCTGGGCCAGCACAGGGCAGGTTTTTATATTGCTGGGGCCAACGCAGATGCTGGCCCCAGCCTTTAGCTCCCCCTGGATCCAGGAGGAGCTGGGCATGGTCATTTTGCCCCAAGTGGCACAACTTTCCCCAAGCCAAAGTGAATGTCTTGGCATGTGCGGTAAGGCAAAAATCCCTGGCAAACTTGTACTGCTCCTATCTGAGCAGCTGCAAGCGCACATGCCTGCATGTGTGGATGTGCCCAGAGGGTTAAGTGTCTCAAATATGTGGGAGCACATGGATCTTCAGCTCCTGGCTATGGTGGCCAGTTAAGGAGTTACACTGTTAGTTTGGGGTCCATATTCCACTAAAGGGAAGAGCTTTAGAGTAGGGTACAGAGTGGGGAAATGTGGATTTAATAAAAGGATGCTTTTCAGTTTTCTCTGTATTCCCACAACATAACCACTAAACACTTCAGGGAAATCAAAGTGCTGTTCCAGCACTTTCTGTTTTGGATCTATCACACTACCATTACTTTGTATTGTGACTCTTTATCCTGATTATTCCCTCTCCACCCTTCCAGAAAGTGTGTTACCATCCCTTGGAATTATTTTCTAAGCAATGTAGGGTAGCAGTGTTGCATTGGGGGGCAGGTGTGTCAGGGTTTGATGCATTAATGTGACATTGTTCTCTGTTGTACATTCTCTACAGTTTTATCAAGATTGAATACAGATTTGCAAACATTTATTTCCTGAGCAAAGCAGGAAAGCTTAAAATGAGAAAACAAATGTCTTATACTTCAGGAACCTTTCTGTGATTTCCAGATTTTTGTGTGTCAGGTTGGAAGGGCTTGTGAATTCTGTGGAGACTGCATACTTTGCCACTGTGGTATTAGTAAACACTGTACCTTGATACTTAAGAAAAAGTAGAAAACTGAAATGATGGTATCTCTGTTGATGAGGGGGGAAAATGAGTTGGGGATTCTTAGGGTTAAAACAGAGATGAATTGGGCTTTCTTTCTCAGTAGGAGAACAGGGGTGTTTCAGCTTCTGTGATATGAAAGGTCTCGTACTTTTTCTCTCTCATTTTTAGTGCTGCTCGAAGCCCTCAAGAAGAATGAACAGCCATCAAATGGCCAGTCTCAGTCCCGGGAGTCTACAAATCCCCATTTCAGGAAAATGAGTGGAGACTTCCCATCAGCCAATGGGGAGGCAGGTGGGGAGAGTAGCAAAGGTTACACCCAGGACCAGGTGGATGCAGTTAAGAGGTAAGCAGCCACTGTTGCATGGTTTAACCCTTCATAGGACAAAGGAGTTATTTCTCAGACTCATTAACATCCACCCCAATGTTTGTTTGGTCTCATCTAACACCAGTGTGTTCTCCAGAGTATTTCAAAGGCATCCAGAACTTTCAGAAGTACAAAGTCTTGAATGACCGGGGAGCAGCATGTAGTGTGTGTAGCTATGAGGAAACCCAGCTAACCTTGATATTTTTGGTGAACTGAGGTTGTGAAACAGATTTATATTACAAACTTGTTAGCAGGATTTTATAGCTCTGGCTAGACTTGGATGTAGCTTGGATAAAGTTTCCCCCTATATACATGTAGAGTGGCTAGGACAGGGACTTAAATCTCTACTTTGAGATAATAGGATATAAATTTGTAGTGCCTGGTGGTACTCTTGATTACACAGCCTAATTCAATAAGAACTACCACATCAGTACCATTGGCAAACTCAGTTTTTGAGATATGCAAAACTCCAGCTGAATGTTTTGAAATAAATTTGCCTGACAGATGCAATAATTAGTTTTCTAAATAGTAGTATATTTTCTTGCATACCGTATTCCTCAAAACACACACCTTGTTTTGGGAAGGCAAAATAAAGAGAAAACATTTCTTCTAGAGGAATATGAGAAAGAACCCAAGTTTGCAATCTCAGGAGCTAAAACTGAGTAAATGAAAATTTAGAGAAGCACATTAACTTCATCTGTGATTTTAGAATGATGAAAAGTTGATGTATTCAAAGTCAAGACGTTTCCTTGGCTCAAACTAACTGCCCTTGTCACCTCATCTCTTCAACTTCTAGGGTAAAACAGTGTAAAGATTACTATGAAATTCTGGGAGTAAACAGAGAAGCCTCTGATGAGGACCTGAAAAAGGCTTACCGAAAACTAGCACTGAAATTTCACCCAGATAAGAACCATGCACCAGGTGCTACAGAGGCATTTAAAGGTAAAGCATGTTTTCTGTATGATGAGCTGTACTTAATCACTAGTTGACAGTGGTATATTTGGGCTGGCAGAAAGTCTAAATGCTGCAACCTCAGCCAAAAATTCCTAAAACAATAAATGAACTTTAGGTTGGATTGTTAAAAATAATGAAGACAGCCAGCAGTAAAGGGTAAGGGTAGTGGAAAGGTGCTCCAGCCAACCACTAGTTCCAGGTTTCTTTTTTGGGGGCTACTTTTAGTACTAGCAAAACATAACAAAAGTTTCAAATAATACTAGCATGGAGTAACAAGGACTTGTCCCACTTTCTACCAGGAAGAAGGGAGAAAGCAAACACTTGTAAGTAGCTATTCCTACCTATACTTTAGGCCTCCTGCCAGATAACTGGGAAGCAACTTCCTTCTGTGGTTTACCTTGACCCTTATTTTCCTCACGAGCAGGAGGCATGTTCCATTTACCTTTTGTCACGTATCTTGTCTGGGACTGCAACTCCATGCACTCCAACAGATCTCAAAGTGCTAACCCTTGGAACAAGGTGTTGGGATGCATCCAAGGACCAGCAAACCCGTTAGACAGTTATTTGTGTTTCTAACCAATAAGTAGTGTAAGGAGTCAGCTCTTGGAGTAGTAGCCCTTTGTTGCTTGTAACTGCAGACATATGGAAGAGTCCTGCTATACTGACTACAGGGTTTGCAAATGGTTTAACTAATTAACAAAAGAAAAAAATTATTGGAGAAATTGTCTAGCAAAAAATTGCCCTTTTCAGAACTGGCATCAGAGAAGCCAATTACACCGTTTAAATTCTACCACCCAGTGAACATTCTAGCCAGCCAGGTAATATGGATCCAGATTTTGCGGCAGATGCTCAATGATAGTCGCATACAATACCCACAAATTCCTATATAGAAATCTAGGTGATAGACTGCAATGTGTGACTCAATCAGTTATGCAAGGAGCACTAATCAAGCTTTAAAAAGATCACAAATTACTTAAAATTGTAAACAGACTCATTCTTAGGTCCTATGTATGTCCTCAAAATGGACGTTTCGTGGGTAAGGAGATCTCTTAAACTGGAATATTTTTCCGTGAAAAGCCTGGTCAGTTTGACAATTTAAAACTAGACTAAAACAAAGCACTAATAAATACAGTAGGAAACAGTCCTACATTCTCAGAATTTCGTGCTAGGTAACTGAATAATTCTCTTTCCTCTCAAGTTTAATGATGCCTAACATCTTCCTCTGTATTACAGTTGCATCTTTCATTTATGTCAAGGTTTTACCAGAAGGAACTAGGAGGCTTTCATTGTTGAGTTTCAGTGACTTTTGCCTGGTGATCATGATTACTCTGTAATCAACTGTGAGTCAGGTAAATCCCTGGTATCACCCAAGTGAAATCAGCAGAGTTACATGAAAGTTGAGTTTGGCCCATTATGATAAACTCTGTAGAAAGATGTAATTTATTAAGGAAAACACACTTACTCTGAACTAGCATTAAAACTTGCTTAGGTCACAAATTTGGAAATTGTTGCAAATTCATTCTGAGCTCAGAATCAAGCTGGGTGGGTTATTTATTATTTATTTAATGTTCTCAGAAGCACCTCTCAAACTGCACAGAAAACAGTGAGCTTGCACATTTATCATAGAGGGCATAATCTGGTCTGCAGAAAGGTTATCACTGGTGGTTATAGGTAAAATAGAAGCTACCCAGTTTGATCCTGAGCTGAGGGTGAGTGTCCATGGGTAAATGTTAGAAAACCTGGATCTTTATTTGCAAACTTTGCAAATTTCATGTAGCAAAAAACCCAGAGAACTACTTGATGCCACTCTGGAGAATGGAACTCTGTTTATATAGCACGTCCAATTCTAGCCAGGTAGCTTGGGAGTGATATAAGTGAGGCTTCAATGTGCATAAGGAGGAACTCTATTTTGAAGTGTGTGTGTTGTTATATTATTTGATAGCTGGGCAAGTGTTTCATATTGGCATAAATTCAGTAGCAAAAATCTGATATGGGGTTTGTTCAGTCCTCTTAAGCCTTAAATCTCTGACTAAAAAATGTGTTACCATAAGCAAATAGTACGCTGACCCTGCAGTTACCTGTGAGAGCTTTTTCTGTGCTTTTGGGTCTAGATTAAATCAACATGTATACATAGACATCCACCTAGTGCTCACCATTAAGCTTTCTTCAGTAGTTTACTCTTCAGTCCTTGCAAAGTGGCAAAAGGCAGGTTTCTTCACCTGCAGTCTTAAGTAATCCTATTTACTGAAGGCTTTGACAAGAGTTGCATATCAAACTTTGGTGTACTAAGCAAGGTGCACTTTATCCTGCATTGCAGAACCGTCTGCTGTAATGTTATCTCTCCTTAGATCCCTGTCTCACTGGTTCTCCAGTCCATTTTGCCCCTTATTAGCACCTACTTCACAGTGCCTGCTGACATCTATCTGTTTGGTTCCAAAGGGGAACTGTGCAGTGCTTTGGAGATTCTAGTTAGTTTTTTCCTAGTATTGATGTATTAGCTGATGCCTTGACAGAGTCTACATTTTATCTTGAGACTGTCTTATTTCATAGTTGCAATACCCCACTCTCTGTCTTGGAGTTGGGTTGCATTACTAGCTTTGGCTTACCTGGACCACTTTTTGCTAGACTTATGTTCAACATAAGAAGCTTTTTAGACTTTGTCAATAAAAATATATGTTGTGGACAAAACCCAGACATCAAATTATTCCACTTGAGTTACTTAACAATGTTGTTTGCACTCTGAACAGTTAGAATAGCCTAATTTGCTGGCAGCTGACTTTTCTAGCACAGCTTCACATTTGAGTTGTGTGCACTAGTTAACATTTATTCTTAAAGCGATCACTTATTAATATTACACCTTCTACCTTCCAAATCTTGGTTCTAAAAAGAAACTTAAGGCTGAACCTGGTAGTAAAAGATCTGAATCTTAGAGCTTGTCTACATAGGAAAGTTTTATCATTTATACATCTAGTATAACTAATTTTCCCATCTCTTCCCTCACTTTTTTTTTTAATGAGTTAGGTCCAGTACAGATATTCTCCTCCCTAATAAGTATCATGCAGAGACTCCCAGGCAGGTTACTAGTGAGGGGAAATGATGGATCGATACATGTAAAGAAAAGAAAATGGAAATGTAGAAATGGTTAAACAACAAATAAGCATTTGTACAGGATGGTTAGTCAGGTGAGAGAGAAGGAGGGCCATCAGGAGAAGTGACTGGGGTTGAGTTTCAGTACTTTTCCATTGTCACAATGCCAGTTAGCCTGCATAATTTTTCCTCTTCCTTCTTGCCTATGGAAATTTTTCTTGGACTTTTAGTCTGCAGTGCACTGGACTTTTATCCTACCATTCTATATTTGGGTCATGATGTGACTTCTTCAGTTATGCTTTTAGCTAATAAACATCAAATGCTGTAGTACCATCTCATTTTTTCCCCAAATAAAACCATACTTTAACTTACTGGTTTTCATGGTTTAATAGATTGATGTGGAAATTAGTTCTTAGTTGATTTTTTTTAATTAGCCTTGAGCAAACTTCAGCAAACTTCTAGTTTCTGCTTCATCTGAAGGATTCCTTTGTAGACCCAATATCTGTTTGGCATTGCATTTGGGTAGTCTTGGTTTGCACTGTTTGAGTTAATAGCCTGGTTCTTTTGTTTTGTCCACATTCATCATATAGATACAATGGGTGTCAATGTTTGGGGTGTTTAGTACTCTTTTAAGAAGGGTGGTTGGCTGATACTCTAATCTGTATCATGAAGCACAGGATCTGCCAGTTTGCTAGCCAAAGAGTTCTTCAGGAGGCTTAGGGTATATTATTACTAGGAGAAAGAGGCTAATAATTTCCCTATTGCCAATATTTCAGCCATTGGTAATGCATATGCAGTGTTGAGCAACGCAGAAAAGAGGAAGCAGTATGACCAGTTTGGAGATGAGAAACTCAACCCTACACGACATGGACACAGTCATGCAGATTTTCACCGTGGATTTGAAGCTGACATCTCACCTGAAGATCTCTTCAACATGTTCTTTGGTGGTGGTTTTCCTTCTAGTAAGCCTATCAAGTCCATTAATATATTCTGTGGGATCTGATACAGGGCAGATTTCACTCATCTACTTTTCTAGCCCTCCTTTTGACAGAAGTTCAGTGAAAGTTTATTTGGCAACATAAGGGTGGGAGTGGGCACTCTGTTCCTTTTGGCAGCCTAGCTTGATGAGAATGACTAAAACTTCTAAGCTTCCAAAATTAAGTTTTGAGCTCTGAAAACCTTACACATGATAGAGTTATACAACCAGCAGGCAGCATCAACAGAGCTAAATTTCTTAGGAGTAATTCATTGCATGCTGATCACATTGGCCTTTTTTCAGTTTGGGCTTGAACATTTTTAAACAACTTTTATGCCGCTTAAAAAATCCTATTTTTAGTTGGTATTTTTCTCCAAAAATTAAAACTCTTCTCACTTGCTGTTCTGCACAACGTAAATACTGAAACCAGTAGGTATCAAATTCTAGTTCTTTCACCCTATTTTTCTATCATTCATAACAAATAATCCAAAATACTTATTCCTAGAAAATAAATTAAATTTGTTCAAAATGAAATTACCTTTATATTTTGCATATATAAACTGATGAGGAAAAGAGTTTTTGCTATAATCCTCCATGATCATTAGTCACCATTAAAATCAGTTTATTTAGACAAGATACAGATTTAATTTAAATTTGAAAACAAATTATTTTCCAGAGAAAAGTCCCCACGCCACTTATCTCCTAACATGCCCTGGATAATCAGAGAAGTAAATACATTGGATTCTGGCATATAAACTACATTAGTAACTATAACCCTAACTAATGGTAAAAGAAGTACTCAGGGAAACAATGAAATATTAAGTACTTACAGGGGTGCTATATTCATTTTAATTTCTATAACAGTGACATTTGATGGAAGGAAGCCTCTGGGCTATTGAATGCTGATATAGTTATAACTTCTACTTGTATTACGTTATGAATTAAAAACAGGCTAGTGGTAACTTTTAAATATTCAAATCTAGTTTGGTAAGTAGTAGGAATTCTGTCTGCTTAATTACAAAAAGGCAACCATTTTTCTATTTGTCAGACTAAGAAAATTGCACATTATATATACACACACCTTTTAAAAAAAAAAATCTAAATTTAAACCGTGCATGGTACTGAAGAGTCTTGTACAGTGTTTCTCTACCCCCTGATATCCTCCAGTGGAGCCCTGCAATCACCACCAATTAGGTTTCAAGGAAATATGTTTGGTACTTTCCCATCTTGAGAATAAGTCTCCTCTGGTAATACTGTTGTTTAATTTTGGAGTTTGCAAATCATTTTCTCCATTTTTATCTGACAGTGATTTCAAATTCTCCATCCAGATCCTTTCAGCAACCATTAAGGAGTTGTTCATCCTCACAGCCCAAGGTCACTCTTCAACCAGCCATGTCAAATAAGCTAATAAAAGGCACCTCCATTATTGTTTTTTTAGGGAGACACTGCAGTTAGTGCCTGGTGGCAAAACTTGATACATTGTTACAAGTTCTTTTTAGTGAAAATTCTGAATTTCACTGTGGTTTGTTAGTGCCTAATGTGTCCAGATGTTGCATTTTTATCAGGCAGGATACAATAGAATGCGCTTGATTATTTTGTTTTTCATCACCCCTCAGCTAGCTGATAACAGTATCAAGGTGTTCTGGGCTCCTCTTAATAGGTTTATTTTCCCACAGGTAATGTTCATGTGTACAGCAATGGCAGGATGCGATATACCTACCATCAGAGGCAGGACAGGAGAGAACATCAGGGTGATGTAAGTAGAGAGGACAGCAGGGTGACGAAAGGCTGAGGAGAAAGAAAAAGGGTTTTTTCATATTTGAAAACCAACAAAATTGCTTGTACCCATTGTATTAAACTATTCTAGACAAGTAAGGGCAACTTTCTAGTGCCGTGGCAACTGAATTTGCTTGAGAGTTTACATTGGAGTTTCCTGTTCTATTTACTGACAGTTGTATTCGTATGGCTTTCATACATATACTGGCACAACACTTCAGACTGGATCCCATTTAAACAATGAGATTAAATGTTGTTTTCTGTTTAAATATAGCATCCAGAAATACAGCATTAGTACGTGGTGACTGCACTTTTAATTAAGTATAAACTAAAGTTTGGGTTTTTTTCTACTTAAACCCTAGGGTCATAGAACAGTAGGGCTGAGCAGGGAACTCAGGAAGTCATCTGGTCCAGGGGTCAGCAAGGTTTAAGAAGGGCAAACTTGTGACCCAGCCATTACCACAGGCCACTGATTTCCTATGTGGTGCCACAGCCCTTTCTGCTCTGTGCAAGGACTGCTCTTGACATTGGCAGTGACAAGTACAGGCTGCAGTAGTAAGCACGCGGCTGCTGGGTGCTGTGCAGGGGATGCTGCACAGGGTAGAGAAAGTGCCTCTGTCACCATGTGCTACTGAACCCTGTCACCACAAGCTAAATCAGATCTCTTTACATGCTGGATCCAGCCCAGGGGGCAGAGGTTGCCAACTCCGGATCTAGTCTAACCCCCAAACAGGATCATACCACTCTAAACCGTCACAGACAAGCGGTTGTCTAACCTGCTCCTAAAAATTTCCAAGGATGGAGCTTATACAACCTCTCTAGGTACTCTGTTCCAGTACCTAACCACTCTCATAGTAAACATTCTTCCTAATATCCAATGTAAATTTCCCTTGCTGCAATTCAAGACAGTTGCTCCTTGTCCTGTCCCCTGTGGGCACTGAGTATAGTCTGCTACCATCCTCTTTATTATAACTACCCTTTTGGCATTTGAAGACTGTTACCATATTCCCCCTCAGTGTTTTCTAGACAAAATAATCCCAGACAGTTTCCCAAACCTCTGATCATCTTTGTTCTTCTCCACTGGACTCTTTCTAATTTGTCCAGGTCTGAATTCCAAAATATTCACCTGCCTTACACTTCAGTCCTCACAGCATCTGCACCCATTCCTCCTTATTTCGTTAGCCAAAATGTGGTGTTTCCAAGAATTACCATGCAGTGGTGTTTCATCAGGGCTGTTTGAAGCTGTGTTTATCCAAGAATGCCGGGAAAACAAAGAAAGTCATTTGAAAGTGGACAGTCAAAATACTTGACCTGTTCAGGGGGTTTTGCAAAGCTGTACATTCCCAGGCATTTTTTTGTAACTAAACCTGTACACTGCATCAGCTCACTGAAAATCCAAAGCAGGAAATTAGGGACCTCCAGATCATTAGCACAAAGAGATTGAGAATTAAGGATGTAAACATCTGTCTTTTTCTGGCCCTGATTCCTGTCTGAACTCTTAAGCTTCTTAGTATCATAGAGCAGTAGGGTTGGAAGGCACCTCAGGAGGACAGCTAGTCCCAAACCCCTGCTCAAAGCAGGATTGTCACTGACTAAACCCTTCCAGGCAAGTGAGAGAGTTCTTCCTAATATCCAACTTAAATTTTCCTTGCTGCAATTTGAAACCATTGTTCCTTGTTCTGTCCCCTGCAGCCCTGTAGTTCATCCCATTCCTCCTTATAACCAGCCTTCGGGTATTTGAAGACTTTTATCAAATTGCCCCTCAGTCTTCTCTTCTGCAAACTAAATAATCCTAGTTCTTTCAGCCTATCCTTATAAATCATCTTACCCTTACCCCCCTCCAAGTGTCTGCATCTCAAATTCTCAACCCAACTTGGTGTTATCTGCAAATTTGCTAAGTGTGCACTCAATCCCAAATCATTAAGATATTAAACAACACCAGACCTAGGACAGACCCTTTTAATCTAAAATTCCAGTGTCATTATCTTTCTGATTGGGTAGAACTTTAATTAGCCAAGGAAGGCACTTCATAGAAATGTTGAACTACTTCTGTACCTCCTTCTCTTATGGAGGTCTCTCCAGCATTCTCTGTCCCCTCTGGGTAGGGAAATGGGGTGGGAGGTGGGGGGAGAGAGAGAGCAGCCATGGATCTAACCCAAGTCTTTTTCATGGCTTTGAAGGCCTTTAACCTTTGGGATGATCTACAGTATATTCAGAGAAAAGGCAATTGTGTTTCCTTTCTTAAGCTTAATGAAACAGTTGTTCTAGACTAGAATGAGAGGGAATCCAAGATTTGAAACAGATATGGTTTGGTAGATTAGTAAACAGAAAGCACATTCTATCTAATGCTGTGGTACCGATTTCTGTAGACTGAGTTAGAATATGAAAAATGCATCAGCAAATGCTCTTTAATATATATGCTGTTATATAAGATTAATGTAAACCATTCCAAACTCTCTCTCAAAATGAGGGTGCACAGGGGTGAGCTAGAAGACCTTGGTTTTTACAAGTATATTTCCAAAGTAGTGACTACCATTAGTACTAGGAAGAGTCACTGGGCAGGGAACTTCTCTTAAACTGTTTTGAAAATGTGCCCTCAACATTCTTTGTTCTTTTTAACTTTGTAGAAGAGTGAGTCCCACTGTGCATTTGAGTCACATGCACATCTCCTGCTAACATCAATAGGAGCAAGGGCACAATACAGCTGAGTTTGGTGGGGGAGGGAGACAAGGGGGAGATGTTCAATAAATCTGTGCTTGTAAATGAATTGATGACATTCCAGTGTGTATTTCTGTTATCCCTCAGGGTGGCCTTGGCTTGTTTGTCCAGCTGATGCCTATTCTTATCCTGATCATTGTGTCAGCTCTCAGCCAGATGATGGTCTCCAGTCCACCTTACAGCTTGAGCCACAGACCGTTAGTACCCACTATTTTAATACATAACTTGGGCTGGGAGCATGGGGAGGGGTTTGAAATGAGAACAGGCATACTAGTAGTTTGGATTTTTGTGTGTTTTCCATTTGGGTGTGCTTTATTCCTCTTTTCCTAGTATGCTACTGCGTTGCAGAGGTGATTTTAACATTACATGCTGTTTCCTGGTTGTTGAAAAGGATGACACTGAGGTCTATCATTACCACTGAGCATAGCCAGGAAATCAGTTCATTAAAAGAAACTTCTCCAGCCATGTTTTTTTTCACTCTTGGTAGATCTTGGCTGTAAGAGACCATGGCATTTTTCAGGTCTCTTCATCACCAAAGATTATTTCTGTTTGGCAGAACATGTGTAATCTTAGAACTGCTGAGATGAGAAGAATATTCTGGGATCTATCTGAACTTGCTGTAAGGTCTAGCAAACAAAGCTGAGACAAAAGGCTTCTTACTTGGGTGATGAATGCAGAGAATCCTTGAGATTCTCTTGTAATGTTCAGTTCAGGGCCATGGATCCTGCAAGCCACATGTCAGAACCCCAGAGGGTTCTAGAGCCATTCATTGTAAAGTATCACACTTTTCACTGGGACACGAAGGACACAAGTGTGAAATTGGGTGTGTTGCACAGGCTTTATGTTCACCTTCAATCACCTCTTCTATCCAAGTAAAGATCAAAGATGGCGATACAGTGATGTCTAGCAAAATGCTAGGTATACTGGAGGGAGCTGTCCTGCACTTAGGTCTGGATTAAATGACTTCAGAGAGCTCTAACCAAATACAGGTGCTAGATTCAGGTGAGTTCTGTGGGTAGTATCAAAAGCCTTGTTTAGCTTGTAATACAGACAACAATTTCAATGTTCTCCATGGAAACATTGGAGTATTTTACCTCCAGGACAAGATGTATAAATAGAGTAAACAAAGAACTGTTACAGAATTGCTCATCATTGTGAAACAATCTAAATAAATTTGTAGAGAAATAACCCTTTCCTAATCCAATGACCATAGGGAACTTCATCAGTTAATACCAGTGAATGTTTAGAGCACTGGGAAAGCCCGAATGCCAACTGGTGTTAAACCCTGTAATTAGAGTTTTCCAAACAGTTCTGTAACAGCTAAATCCTTATCATGATAACTCTGGCTGGAAAGTGTATTACATTTCATGTTATAGATGTGGTCTAAAATCTGACCAGAAGCTCAAAACCTAGAGCATAGGGCATCAGACATGTTCAAATATAGCACTTTGCTAAATTTAAAAGTTTGTGGGTTATTCCAAGTATTTTACACCTGAATTTGGGGAGGAAAACAGGTGGTGTGGGAATGTAAGCCATGCTTCTTAATGGGCATAGTTTGAGAAAGGAATGTAGACTGTATTACTGTTTTAGTCCCTATATGTGCATCATGTTCATGTGGCTATGAATGTATTGTGCATTTTAAAAGTGTTTTTCAAGTTTTTAACTTTCCAAGGTCCCTATCTGGACATCAGTTTGCCCTTCTAGAGAATTGCAGCTGCCAAAGATCTCAGTCAAGAGTAGCACACAAATAGAAATTGGGAAGGTTGCTCCCACAGTTGTACTTCAGCTATAGGGTTTTTATTCCCACCAGGGGAAGAAGCAGGTTTTATTTGACTTCTTCATTAGAAGAGGTGGTGCCATTTACTTATTGAAAATAAAAAGCCCTGTTTGCAAAGTCTGCAATGAAGCATGGACAAATAAGTGATGATTATAAACCTGCCTTGTAGTAAAATGGGTTATAACAGGGGTCACAAGCCCTTTGGTGGGATAGGCCAGAATTTAAAACCCAGCCATTGCTGCAGGCCGGAAGTCTTTCCCCTTGCCCCTTCTGAGTGGTTAGCTGCCAGTTTCCCTGCGCCTCTGCAGCAAAGGGAAGCTCTGCAGGGATGACATAGTTCCTCAAGACTGATCCCCCATTTTGGATTGGAACCTCCACAAACCGCATTGGACCTCTTTGTGGGCTGAATGCAGTCCGTGGGTCATAGGTGCGCCTGTCCTACAGCGTCTCCCCATTTTGTCTTGAAAGTTGATGTTATTATTAACAACAAACAAATTGGTAGTTTTATTAGCTTCGTAAGGTCAATGCAAGGTTATATTAGTGTTCTTGATGGCTGGGTTGCATGTATTAGTCTCTTGGTACAGCAGTGGGGTGCCTGTGTATGCGTATGCGATGGTGTTGGAGTAATGTTGTAACTGAGATGGCCCAGAAATTATACACCAGGCAAGGATTTTTGTAAGTGATATCTTTTATTGGACTAACTGCACAGTTGGGCTAAAGTTAGGCATGGTTTCAAATGCAAGCTGTTATACACATACATTTGGAAGTTTTTCACGGGTAAATAAAAGGGGAATTGTAAGATAGTATTGTTATTGTAGGTGGGGGGTCCTTAGTTTCATTGATTAGACTCTGTTTGTGAGGTAAAGCCCTGAAAGAATCTGGCTTAACTTTTGGATTCCAGGCCAATTTGTGGGAATGATGGCTAGAATACCATGTTTTGACTTTTTACACTGGACCCATTTGATCAGATTCATTGAGAGAGTAAATAATACTGTAATGTTATTTTCATGACAATAGCAACAGTAAGAAGTTTTGTCCATATGTAGTGCACTGGTAGGGAGGTGTAAAAAACCTTTCAGTCAGTTGTGGGAGCTTAGTAGGATGTCATTCAACTATTGTCTTCTGACTCAACCATTGGAGGAGAAGGAACTCCTAGTCCCAGCCATTCCTTTGTCATCGAATTCCAACCCTTCAGTGCAGGGGAGCCCCCTTGGAGCTCTGCACATTTGGAAGGCCCACACTCAAGCTTAGCTGTTCAGAATTATTTTACTCTTCAAGTTAGTGTTTGGCTTTAGCCACTGTTTTTCACTTATCAAACTAAGATGCTGCTTGCAGGGGCACAGTATGTTTCCTGGCTCAGCATTGGCACTTGCTTCTGATTTCTGAGCTGCTTTCTCCACCCTGTCTGAGAGTACTGTGCTGAAGTGCCTTTGCATTGCCAAGGACAGAAAAAAGAACCAATCACCAAATCCTTGGGTTCATTCATGAGAAACAAATTAGACTTTTCATGCAGCAGGCAACAATGCCAGAAGAAAAGGCTTTCTGTTGTCTTGTTTGAGTAAAACTGAGCATGCAGAACAAAACCCTCTGGGTCAGTGGAGCTCTGGCAGTAATGTGCGAATGTATTGTGTGCCAGTAGGCGGTGCTGCTAGATTGCCTAAGAGCCTTCCCCACTTCATCACTTCTCATGAGAATATTACCTTTGCTATGGCTTCTGGGAGACGAGTGGAGACTGATGTAGTGATGATGACCAGGAGGTCAGAATGTGACTGAAAAACTGGAAGATTAAGATTACAAAATGCCACCATTGAGAATGAGAGAGGACCTCTAGAACTGACAGAAACACCCTTTTGTCATTCATTAAACTTCATAAATCTCCCTTGTGCAGTATTTTTCAATACCAAACCTTCTACTTGTTCTAATCTTTAAATCTATAACCCCTTGATAATTAGTTATTGCCTAGCGGCACATGCCCAGGTCATGTTCCTTGTGTAGCTTTAGGTGACAGGCTCCATGAAGCTCAGTAAACTAGGATCATAGGAAAGTGGGCGCATCTACATGAGACACTTTACTATGCAATAGACTAATCTACTGAGCAGTAAGGCATCATTGTGTGACTATGTACAGCAGCTACAGCACAGTGAATTAGGCTAATGCGTGGTTTTCTACTACCTGTAAATACAGGTAGTAGATTAACTGCACATTAGCTGCTGTGCAGTACTGCTCATGTAGACACTGACCAGAAACAAATTTGCTCCCTATCAGCCACACCAGCAGGGGCCACAGGGGACAAGGAAGTTCTCTGTCCCTGATCCTAGGGCTCCTGGCTCCCCCCAAGAGCTGGGAACCAATCAGCGCTAAGATGGGGTTGCTCTCTGCCTCCCCCATCCCAGTGCTGTGTGGCGCCCAGCTCCCCACAGTCCTGGTGCTGCTTGGCTCTCAGCTCCTGGCAAGCTGTCTGGGGAGCTTTCTGCTTCCCCACTCAGCCAGGGCCTCTCCAGCAGCTATCCTGCTTCTGGGGCAACTACCAGGGAGTCCCCTGCTGGGCAGGGATTCCCACAGGAGCTGGGAGCCAAGCAGCCCAGCAGGGGTCTTGCCAGGACCTGTCCAGCAGGGCAAGTTCCAGAAGTGGGACAGCTCCCAGTGATCCCCCTGCTGGGTGGGGGTTTGCTGGCAGCCGGGGGCACCCTGCCCAGCCTAGGGCTCACTGGCTACTGCCCTGGAAGTGGGACAGGTCCCAGCTAGTTCTCTTCTGGGCAGAGAATCCCCACTCAACACGGGGCTGGCTGGCAGCTTCCTTTTTATTCCCTGTGAGCCCCCTGCTGGGTGGGGAAGCCCTACTGGCGGCTCGCTGGTGTCCCAGTGTGCGCAGGGCAGAAAACCTCTTCTGGTTGCAGTGGCAGCTGTCTCCCAGCCCTGTGGCTTTGCCTGGAGGGCACAGGGCAGTAGAGCTGGGGGGCGGGGGAGGGGGCGGGCAAGGGGT